TCTGCTCACCTTGAGCTGGCCTGGTCGGCCGCTCGTGCATCGGCTACAGCTGGGCAGAAGGCATGGCTGCTCAAAGCCTCCCCGTATGGCGCTAAGAATGTGCATGCGGGGCTCGCGCATGACACTGTTGATGAGATTGAGTATCGGGGCGCCCCCCATGGTGTTGAGCAGCCCCCTGGGGGCCCCATGCACTATCGGTCTGATTGCTGGGGGGGCGGGGGCCTTTGGACTGCTTACGATTCTAAACGATTAGCCCTGCGTGAGGCAATGAATGACCTCAGGCCTGTTGCGCTGGAGGCCGCGCTGCAATTGGAGCCTCTCACCTCGGCCGACGTCGCCCGAGGGGCTTCTGTCTTCGCCGTGGGGACTGCAGTTGGGGTTGACATTTGGGCTCCTCGGGCCTGCCTGGACCTCTCTGAGCGCGCGAATGCTGCGATCGCTGACATGTTGAGCAAATGTGAATTGGCCATGACGTGGCTTGCTCAATTTTTCTGGGGTGCCCCCCCCCCCCCCAAGACCATTGAGTCTGAACAGGCCCATCTGCAAGTGCCCCGCCGCGTGCCGCCTTCATTGCCGCATGTGCGGCTGCGACCTGGATGCCTGGACGGCCAAGAGCATGTATTTCTGGGGCGATGCGATACGAGGTAACAGCGCCTTGCAGGCAGCTCTCTTGCGCGAGGTCGGGCACGAGGTGGCCGTGTGTTAGGGGGGTATTCGGCTTCCCTCCGTCGGGACTTTGCCCGGTTCTTTACTTATGCTAATCCTGCTCGTCTGATCCACTTCAGGATTGGACTTGGTTGCTCCCTCCACCTCCTGTATTTAGGGACGCTGGTGCACGCGTCCCTTCGCACTATCGAGGTTGCCGGCTACACCGCCGACGGTATTCTCGCTGGGTCTGGCATCCTTGCCGGTTGCATTCAATCGGTGCGTTTGGTCAACATGTATCTCTACTATCTCATCGTTTCAGCTCATCGCAACCATAAGTTTGTGAGCGTCCGCTCGTACGTTGATGACTTGTCGCAGTCCCAGCAACGGGTTGGTGAAAAGGATGTTTGTAATTCAATACTCCCAGCTGCCACTGGACATTGCCATGGGTTCCAAGCCTTGAATGTGTGATATTTTCCAAGAGCGGTTTTGTTGCCTTGCGCGCTTCACCTCGTGACGAGCTTTCTGCTCGCCTCAAGGCCGCTGCCATTCCGATCCGTCCCAGGTCTGCTGTCAAGGACCGTGGCACTATGACGTCTACTGGGCGTTGTTGTGACTTTTCTGAGGTCAAGGCTCGTCGGGAGGCGGCTTATAAGAATGCTAAGAAAGTCGGGTGCCTCAGGGTACCTCAGTAAGCATGTTGGGCGTGCATCGAAGCTGTACAAATGTGGGGCCATCGCTGTCGGATCGTGGGGGCACCTCGCCTTTGGATTGTCGCCTGCGTGCTCTCATTGGTGTCAGCGCCGCGGGATGATCCCCAATTCGGGCTTCGCCATGAGCAGTCGATGTTTTTTCTCCAAACCATCCTGTAGTGATGGGTCCTTGTTTTGAAGAGACGGTCCCCGCACACCGACTACAGCGTTTCGTGGCCTTCCTCCCCCTCCCTGCGTTTCACCCACCCAGTGCAACCTTCGTGGCCCCATAGGGAACCCCACCGAAGGTCCCAGTGCTACCGTCCGCACGCGCCCCTCACACCCACCGTCCGCATGCGTCCCGCACGCCCAGTACAGCGCTTCGTGGCCCCATAAGGGGGCTCCACCGAAGGTCCCAATGCTACCGTCCGCATGCGCCCCGCACACCCATTACAGCGTTTCGTGGCCCTTTTCCCCTTTCTTCCTTGCGTTTCACCCACCCAATACAGCGTTTCGTGGCCCCATAGGGGGCCCCACCGAAGGTCCCAGTGCTACCGTCCGCATGCGTCCCGCACACCAATTACAGCGTTTCGTGGCCCTCCTCCCCCTCCTCCCTGCGTTCCCCCACACAGTACATCGTTTCGTGGCCCCATAGGGAGCCCCACTGAAGGTCCCAGTGTTACCGTCCGCATGCGTCCCGCACACCCAGTACAGCGCTTCGTGGCCCCATAGGGGGCTCCACAGAAGGTCTCATTGCTACCGTCCGCATGCGTCCCGCACACCCAGTACAGCGTTTTGTGGCCGCATAGGGAACTCCACCGAAGGCCCCAGTGCTACCGTCCGCACGCGTCCCGCATACCCAGTACAGCGTTTCGTCGCCTTCCTCCCCCTCCTCCTGGCGTTTAACCCACGCAGTACATCGTTTTGTGGCCCCATGGGGAGCCCCACCGAAGGTCCCAGTGCTACCGTCCGCATGCGTCCCGCACGCCCGGTGCAGCGTTTCGTGGCCCCATAGGGAGCTCCACCGAAGGTCCCAATGCTACCGTCCGCGTGCGTCCCGCACACCCAGTACAGCGCTTCGTGGCCCGATAAGGAGCTCCACCGAAGGCACCAGTGCCCCCGTCCGCATGCGTCCCGGAAACCCACTTTGGCATTTTCACCCACCCAGTGCAGCGCTTCGTGACCCCATAAGGGGGCTCCACCCAAGGCCCCAGTGCCACCGTCCGCATGCGTCTGGGAAATGTAATTTGGCATTTTCACCCGCGCAGTGCAGCGCTTCGTGGCCCCATGGGGGCTCCACCGATCCCGGAAACCCAATTTGGCATTTTCACTCACTCAGTAGAGCGCTTCGTGGCCCCATAGGGAGCTCCACCGAAGCCCTCAGTGGGACCGTCCGCATGCGTCCCGGAAACTCAATTCGGCACATCACCCATACAGTACAGCGTTACCCCCCGCCGAATGCAGCGCTTCTTGGCCCCATAGGGAGTTTCACCGAAGCAGATATTCACAACTACGGTACCCACAACTGCATATGGTCAGGACCTTCGCCAGGATAATTGTTTCGATCTAGCATGATTTGTCCCACCGCCTGCGGCGTGGTGTTGCCCGCGCGCGGGACAAGATTGTGCGCGGTGTCTCGCATATCCCTGCGGGTCACCGCTGGAGACGGGTCAGAGGCCCCATCGTTGCCGCGATCGCGGTGCTGCTCGACCTCTCCCGGTGTCCTCGCCCGCCTGTTTTCTGGGCTACGTGCGGAGCTCCTGATAGAGAGCTTCGCGTCACTGACCCCTGGATTTCCCCATGCTTGCTGGGATACCCTGATTGATTGCTGCCAACACATATCCTGGGATCGTGCTGCTGACCACCACCTGGGTGAAGGGCATCGTTCAGAAAACGTCCAGGGATGGCGAGGCGGAGCCTGCAGGTATGATTCGCAATATCGCCTCTGGTGCATATTGGACGGAGTCCCGACTGATTGACTCTGGGTATAATTCCAGCAACAATGGTTTGTGCCCTCGGTGTGGAGCAGCTAAGGAGGCTCCGCTCCACAGGTTCTGGCAGTGCCCGTGCAACTCAGATGTCCCAGATCAGATCGTTGGTGAGACCGATTGTTATCGCGATTGTCTGAACATGAAGACCACGTAGCTTGTTTGTGGCTTCGTGGCTTGATGCCCCTCCCCACTGCTGTTTCTCGCCTCCCTCCTCCTCAGGACCTCTCTTGGACCTGGGGCTGGTGTAGGACGGAGGATCGGGTGAGGTGTGGAATTTGGGGGATCGATGGATCAGGGGGTGAACATGCTAAGGATTGGAGGCTAAGGAGGTGTGGATGGTCGATATGTCGTCGCGGCCCTACAGTCGGCCCGGATTAGTAGGTCGACCCTGCCAGCTCAAGGGTGCCTTTGTGTCCTGTGCCTTGCGACGCGTGCCTTCTGACACTCTTATGGCAATGTGGCCCTCGGAAGGGTCTTATGTCCTCTCGCGTGTCCTGTCCACCCAAGTCCGACTGTATAGTGGCCTGGACTCCCTCGCTTTCGGCACCCTCCCCACCACCAAGCAGAGTTCACCGCGTGCTGAGCTCTATGCACTGCTCCAGCTGCTCCGGTAGACTGAAGGAGACATCACCGTGTATTCAGATTGCCTGATCGTGTGCAAAGACTTCCGCAAGACTCTAGGAGGCTTGAGAAAATGTTGATGCTTGATCTCTGGGTCCTCGTGCATGCTGTGCTTTCCTATATGCCAGGCACAGTTAACCTGCTTTGGACCAAGGTACACCCCACCCAAAGTCAGATTGAGAACCTGGGTTTGAGATCTGGAGAGCTGTATTTGAATAAGGCCGCTGACTGGTTTGCCTCCAAGGGTGCTGCTGCTCATGACATCCCCGCCCCTCAGGTCAAACTCGCATTAGATGCCGATCACCTTGCGTCCCAGGTGGTGCGGCGACTCCACGCCATTCTGAGGGAGGTGCTTTTCACCTCGGACCGCAAGGTTGCCCGTGTCGGCCTGCCCGAGAGGCGGAGGAGGACGGGTGATTGCTCTGTTGAAATTCGTTGTGCTCGTCGCCGTTCCTGTGGGCACGATCCCAAGGTAAAGCCCTCGGTGATTTGGTGCACCTGGTGCACGCGTGCATTTTTCAGGACAGGATTGCTTGCGGAGTTCTGGCCCTGTGTATGCCGCCCTCGTGGTGATTCTGGTTCTTTCACCCGCCTCTTTTTCGACGACCGCTGTTCTAATGGGGTGAACCCCCCCTTGGCTGTAGGGGGCGTTGTGGGGCATCCGAGGGCTGCTGACTGCCATGCGTCCCACAGGTTGCAGGTCGTCGGAGGCATTATGTTCTGTAGTTCTTGTGGGGGTATCTGTGCTGAGCCCGCCCCCAAGCTCTTGGTGGAGTGTAAGCCCCCGACCAAATCGGGCAAAGATGTCATATCCCGCATGGGTCGCGGCTTGCCTCCCAAGTCTGGGACGACGTTCCCTGAACTTTAAATGTGATTGATCTGCGGCCAGGCTTGCACCTGCCTTGCGCAACATGCACAATGATATTAACTCCTCCTCCTCCTCCTCCCTCCTCCTCCTCCTCCTCCCTCCCGAGCCACGTCGCCGCGGATCCGAGAGGCGCCCGAGCCCCTTCCCTGCAAGGGGGCCGCCCCGGAGCCGCGCGGCCCAGAGGCAGCGCCCGCCCCGAGCGCGATCCCGCACACGGTCGCGGAGGCGAAGAAGATGAAGGTGACGGAGCTTCGGGAGGCCTCGCGGCGGCCTCCTCCTCCTTCTGTTCCTCATCCTCCTCCTCCTTTTGCTCCTCCTTCTCCTGCTCCTTCGAAAGCTCTTCTTCGATGGGCACCCCACCCCATGGTCCCCTTTCTCCCTCCCCTTCTGGACTTCCCTCTATGGGCATCGAACCTCCTCCTCCTCCTTCCTCCTCCTCCGCCTGCCCCTCCCTTGACATCAGATTTTCAAGTATACAGACAAGCCGCATAGTAAGGATGGGCAGCCCTCCCAAGGTTGCCCTTGCATCCCTGCCCCTCTGGCCATCCTTGGCCATTTGCGTCGGCCGCGCCCCAGCCGCAAAGCTTCGACATAGCCTTCTAAAGCCCTTGCATCCTTCTCGCGCATCCTTACGATGGTCACTGTAATACAGCCCCTCGCCCTAATAACACAATGAACTCTTGGCCTATCTTAGGTGCACAGTTGTTTTAGGTACATCCCTAACCATTTTGTGGGTAGTCTCGTCCGGGACAGCTGCAAAGAAGACCCCGTGTCCCTAAGGTTCTTGGCCCTCTTTATCTAGAACCCCTCCCGAAGGTTCAGGGGTATTCTCATTGCTTATCATCCAAGGAGGGCGCGGTGAGACACGGGTAATTGGCCTCTTCGGGGGAGCCCTCGTCGCCACGGTTGGACGCAGCTCGGACCATTGGAGCGTTTGCACACAGGCAGGGTTCTGGGGACCGATTCGCTGTATCAATTCCTCGGGGAAGCACACAAAGGGTATACAGTGGAGACCCATGCCGAGAAACACCCTGCATGCCTCCAGGGCGCCCTGGGTTTCTTGGGTTTCGATGGTTTTGCGATGGAAAGCGTGACGTTCCCACACAAAAGTCGATGGACGCCCCGGGGTCTCAGGGTTGGGCTTCTGGTGGAAGGTTTCTTGTGGTCGAGCCCCCACTGTATACATTTCTCGGACCTCCGCGCGGCGTTCCCACACCAGAAATCGATGGACGCCCCGGGGTCTCAGGGATGGGTTTCTTGTGGAAGGTTTCTTGTGGTCGAGCCCCCCACTCTATACATGATTGCTCGGACCTTCGCGCGGCGTTCCCACACCAAAAATCGATGGCGCGGCGTTCCCACACCAAAAATCGATGGGCGTCCTGGGGTCTCAGGGTTGGGTTTCTTGTGGAAGGTTTCTTGTGTCCGAGCCCCCCGCTCTATACATGATTGCTCGGATCTCCGCGCGGCGTTCCCACACCAAAAGTCGATGGACGTCCTGGGGTCTCAGGGATGGGGTTCTTGTGGAAGGTTTCTTGTGGTCGAGCCCCCCACTCTGCCCTGTCCGATTCCTTCTCTGGGCGCTTTTACTAAACGACTTCGCGTGTCGGGGTGGTTCTTATGTGGGGGACTTGTTTGACCTCTACTGTCACCGCACCGCTTCGGGACCCCAGAGATCTGCAGAGGCCTCCTCGGAAGGCCTCGGAGGGCCTCTGCGAAGCCACGCCTCAAGCGCTCCCCCCTGCCTCTCCCCTGGCTTCTCCCAAGCCCGCCTCTGCCTGCCCCTCTCGCTCCTCCCCCCCTGGCGCGCCGAATGCTCCCCTTGCTTCTCCCCCTGGTTTCTCCCAGGCCCGCCTCTGCCTGCCCCTCTCGCTCCTCTCCCCCCCCTGGGCGCGCCGCCGAGGCGGGGCCCCGGGCGTCCGACGCCTGGACGTGTTCTCCGTGCGCGGCCCCCGGGAGTCCCAGCCCCTTGTCTCCCCCGGGGCCCGCTGTTCACCCCGCTTGGCATCGCTCGGACGTGTGCATTCTCTTTTCGGCGAGGACCATCGAGGAGCATCCCTGATCACTTAGCGAAAAAGCCACGCACGGAATTGAAAAAAGCACAGGGAATGGACGTCCGAGCGATGGCCAGCCCGAGCCTGGTTTTTGTTGACGGTCCTGGGGCCTAGCGAGAGCCCCTTGGACGCCGAAAACGGCTAAAAGCTTCCCGCCGTTTGTTTTATGGGGCCACATGCGAAACCTGTCCATCCCCCCCCCCCTCCCCCTCAGAAATCGTGGGGGGTAGAGGTAGGGTTCGCATGTGGCCCCCTATAAGAACTCCCGTCGTTTTTTGTCACTATGCGAGCGTCCTGAGCGTAGCGCACGCCAGTCCTGACGACTTACAGGTGTTGCTGCAGTCGTCGGCTGCGGAATGGGACGCGGCAGTCGCGAAGTTTTGCGAATCACTGTGACCATGTACCCTGCTCTCCCCACCCGCTCCCTCGCCCTCGCCCCTTGCATGTGTTCCATGAGATTGTGTTGTCATCCGCCGCCCAGCGCTCGTCTGTGTAAAGTGTCTGTGTACCGGCGCGCTTCCAGTCTCGCATTTGTCAGTCCCTCTTGGCCTTCATGTCGTGCGCCGTTCAGGCGCGGCTTCTTGCGTGCGTGCGTGCGAGCGTGTCTGGGGCTCTCTTCTAGGGGAACGAACAATGACATAAGCATAAAAACTCTGAGGTCCGCGAGGATTTCTCGGAGCGGCGCTGGACCCCTGGCGCGCTCCGCGCGCCAGGGGCGGCGCCAGAGGCGCCGCTAGGGGGGCCCCAGCGCCGATCCGAGTAAGCGCGGACCTCCGAGTTGTTATGTTTATGCCACTTTTCGTTCCCTTACAGTGGGGGCCCATGCCAAGAAACACCCTGATTGCCTCCAGGGTGCCCTGGGTTTCTTGGTTTTCGATGGTCTTGTCATAGAAAGCGTGATGTTCCCACACCAAAAATCGATGGACGTCCTGGAGTCTCAGGGTTGGGTTGCTTTAGCAAGGTTTCTCGTGGACCAGCCCCTACTGTATTCTCTCTCCCCCCCCCGCAGCGGGAGGCCCTGAGCGCGGCCGGCCTGTCCGACGCCGGCCTGAAGCCGGAGCTGACCGCCCGCCTGGTGGAGGCCATCGAGGCGCAGTGAGCTGGCCGCGGGCGCCGCAGCGGAGTCCGGCCACAGCTCCCAGGAGGAGGGAGGAGGAGGAAGAGGAAGGGAGGAAGGGAGGAAGGGAGGAAGGGAGGAAGGGACGAAGGGAGGAAGGGAGGAAGGGAGGGAGGGAGGAGGAGGAGTTGGAGAACCATGGACACGCTCGCGTCGTTTAAAAGTCACGACGGGAGCTTTTTGGCTGTGTCGGCCTTCGCGGAGGCCCTCGCCGGGGCCCTGTCAGCAGAACGATTCATAGAGCAGAGCCGGCCCTGGGGAGTGGGTCGGGACTTCGGGGGCCCCGTATAGAAGTTACCGCAGCACGGCACCCGAGCAGCAGGTGCAGCCGGGGCAGGCCCGGGGTGAGATCACGGCCGTGTGCACCGTGGCATTTGGCACCCCTGCTTCTCAGAATGCGCGGGCGTGTCTACAGATGTAGGGCGGGCGCCATGTGACAAGCAGCCTCCCTCTAAGAAGCCTTCCCCCTTTCCCCTGCCCCGTCTGCGGGCCTCCAATCCAGACCAAGAGTGTAGCCTCCGCCTCCTCCGCCTCCTATGCCTCCTCCTCCTCCTCCTCCTCCTCCTCCTCCTCCCTCCTCCTCCCTCCTCGAGGAGAGAGCACGGTTTCTGAACAGGTCGTGCGGAAGCCTCGGGTGACACGGCTGCCGGCCCTGGCGGTCTCTGGGGCTCTCTCCGCCCCCCCCCCCGTGGGAGACGTTAGCATCTTTGCCTTACGCCTGGCATCTCTCGGAGGTGCGCAGCTTTCTCGATGAGGGCCATCGGAGAGCATCCTGGATCATCTTGCAAATGGAGCATTTATCCGAAGGGCTGAGGCGACTCCTCCTCCTCCTCCTCCTCCTCCTCCTCCTCCTCCTCCTCCTCGGGTCCCCTGAAGCCCCGGGGGGAGCCGTGCACATCGAAGAGCATCCTGGATCATCTTGCAGAAAGCACGCGCGAAACCGAACAATGCACGAGGAATGGGCGTCCGAGCGATGGGCCGCGGCCGTGGCGGCGGGGCGCAGCAGTCGGGGCCCTCGCGACCCTCCTCCCGCTTACCCCCCGTCCTCAGACCATCGAGCCTCGAACCTTGCCCCTCGATCCTCGCTCCTCGATCCTCGCCCCTCGACCCTCGAGCCTCGAGCTTCGATCCTCCTCGAGCCTCAGGCCTCGAGCCTCGAGTACGAACAGATGCCGTGGGCCATCGGCCTTTGAACTCCGAGGTTCGAGAGTCGTCGGGCGTGCATCGCCTTCTGCTGCTCGCACCTGCTGGGCTTTGCGAGGCCCTGCGAAGCCCTGCTCAGCAATACGAAACGCCTGCGGAGCCCTGCTAGCCACTGCAAAGCTCTGCTAAACCGCAGCAGCCCTCCTTCTAAAGCCTTGCTCGGCCCCCGTATTCCCTGCCATGTAAACATGTAAAGGTAGCCCTCGCTCTTTGCCAAGGCCCCCTAGGCACTGCTAGCCCCTGTAAAGCTATCGTATGCCCTGCCAAGCCTTGCTAAGCATTGCTAGCCCCTGCGAAGCCATGCTAGCCTTCGCGAAGCCCTGGCGAGCATTGCTATACCTTGCTAGGCCGTCCTAAGCCTTGCTGGCCGTTGCCAAGGTTTGCCACGCCCTGCCGAGCCCCTTCGCTAAGCTTTGCCAGGCCTCGCTGAGCCCTGTCAGCCCCTCCTAAGCTTAGCGGAGCCCTAGCCCTGCCCTGTCAAGCTTTGCGTGGCCGTACGGAGCCGTGCCAGCTCTTGCTTGGATATGCTAAGCCCCGCCAGTTTGCCTCTGCTAAGCCCTGCTACGCGCTGCTGGGACCTACTATGCCTTGCTAGCAATTGCTAATCCCTGCTGGAGCTTGAAGATTGCCGAGAAAGTACAGGCTCCACAGTCCCGTGTTCGCGGGGTCTTCAATTAGATTTGTACTAGGGTGGTACCCCTGGCTAGTTCATTTCTATTGGACACGGGGCAGTTTTATCCGTCATCTGTGTGATTGAGAAAGCTAGGACTATGTCATTGTATGTGCATTCTATGTCTTGTCTGTGCATTACAGTTGTACTGTAGTTGCATTCGGTATGTTATACATGTGGATAATGTGTGTAGTGTAGTGCACGTGACTGCAATGTGTATTGTATGTATGTCCACCGAATCAGAATTCGAACCTTTTATCAGTTGCACCATATGTTGCACACTGCGCACAGGTGGCGGTCAAGCCGACCACTACTACGACTACTACGATTCGTTGTACTACTATGATTGATATTTTTGTGACGACGACGACTACTACTAAGTTTACTATTACTACTTGTGCAACCACTGCTACTACTACTACTACTACTACTACTACTACTACTTCTACGATTGCTACTACGATGACGACTACTACTACTGCTGCTACTACTACTACTATTATTACGAATGCTACGAACACGAACGACTACGACTACGACTACGACTACTACTACTACTACTACTACTACTACTACTACGACTGCCACTACTATACTACTACTTCTACTACTACTACTACTACTACTACTGCTACTCCTACTACTACTACTACTACTACTACTACTACTCCTACTACTAGTACAACAACTACTACTACTACTACTACTACTGCTACTGCCACACTGCTGCTGCTACTACAACTACTACCACTACTACGACTGCTGCTACTACTACCACTACGACCACGACTACTACTATTACTGCTGCTGCTTCTACTACTACTACTACGACGACTACTACTACTACTACTACAACTACTACGACCGCTATTACCATTACTATTGCTACTACCACTACTACTACTTCTACGACTGATACTACTACTACTACTACTACTACTACTACTACTACTATTACTACTACTACTACTACTACTACTACTACTACTAGTACTACTACTGCTACTGCTACTACTTCTACTAGTCCGACACCTGCGACTACGACTGCTACAACTACTACGACTAATACGACTACGACTTCTATTTTTATTACCACTGCAACTACGACTACTACGTCGACGACGGCGCCGGCGATTATTATTATTACCTCTACTACAACTGCTACGACTATTGCTACTACTGCTGCTACTACTGCTGTTGTACTTACTACTACTGCTGCTACAACTACTACTACTACTACTACTACTACTACGACTTCGACTACTACCATTATTGTTAATACGACTACTACTTAAACGAATATGACGATTATTTCTACTGCTACAATGTCTACAACTACTACTAGTACTAGTTGCGACTACTACTACTACTACGACTACTACTGCAACTACTACGACTACTACTACTACTACTACTACTACGACTACTACTACGACTACTACTACTACTACTACTACTACGACTACTACTAGTACTAGTTGCGACTACTGCAACTCCTACTACTACGACTACTACTAGTTCTACTACGACGACTACTACTACTTCGGCCACTACTACTTCGACTACTACTACAACTACGACTAGTCTTACGACTACGGCTACTACTGAGACTACTACCACTACTATTACTACGAATAGTACTACTACTACCTTCGGGTATTACTACTACTACGACCACCACCACTACTATTATTAAAACTACCACTACTATCAAACTATTAAAACTAACATTAAAACTACTACTACTACTACCACCACCACTACTACTGCCATAAAAACTACTATTAAAACTACTACTATTACCACTACTACTATCACTACTACTACTACGACTACTACTACTACTACTACTACTGCTACCACTACTACTGCTACTACTACTGCGACTGCTATTACTACTTCTACTACTAGTAGTAATATTGCTACTACTGCGCAGGCTATTGCTATCACTACTACTGCTCCGCCTTCTACCATCACTACCACCACCACCACTACTAGCACTACTAATACTACTACTACTTCTACTTCATTCGCGGCTACTGCGGTTGCCACGATCACCACTGCGGCTACTACTACTACTACTACTACTACTACTACTACTACTACGACTACTACTGCTACTACTACGGCTACTGCTACTGCTACTACGACTACTATCACCACTTTTACTACTACTACTACTACTACTACTGCTACTGCTACTAGTACTACTACTAATACTACTACTACTTACTGCGCTTGTGTCTACTACGACTACTACTACTACTACTACTACTATTACTACTACTACTACTACTACTACTGCTGCTACTCCTACTACTACTGCTACTGCTACTATTACTACCACGGCTACCACTACGACAACTACCACTAGTACGTCCACGACTACTAGTCTTACTACTAGTACGACTGCGACTAGTACTATTACTATTGCTATTATTACTGCTGCTGTTACGGCTACGACTACTGCTACTATACGGCTACTACTACGGCTACTAGACGGCTACTACGAGTACTATTTCTACTACTACTACTACTACTACCATTACTACTACTACTACTACTATTACTACCACTACGACAGCTACTACTACTACTACTACTACTACTACTACTGTTACGGGTACGACTACGACTACTACTACTGGTACCACTACTACGACTCTTACTACCACCACAATTGCTACTAGTACTACTGTTACTACTACTACTACTACTACTACTACGACTACTACTACTACTACTACGACCACTACTACTACTACTACTACTACTACTATTACTACTACTACTACTACTACTACTATTGCTACTACTGATACTGATTACTACTACTACTGATACTATGGCTACTGCTACTGCTACTACGACTCATACTATTTTTACCACAACTACTACGACCACGATTACTGCCACTAGTACTACTACTGCGACCACGACGACTACTTCTACTACTATCACTACTAGTACTACTTCTACTTCTACGTCTACTACGACTACTGCTACTCCTACTCATACTACTACTATCCCTCCGACTACTACGACTTCTACTCTTACGAGTACAGCGATTACTACTACTAGTTCTACTACTACGACTACTACTACTACT